GTCTCTCCTGCCCGGGCTGGCTTTGAACCGCGATCCTCAGATCTCAGCCTCCTGAGTAGCTAGGATTACAGGCGTGAGCCACCAGCGCCCGGCTCCAACACTTTGATTTTATACTTCTAGCTTCCATAAATACTGTCAGTAAATTTTTTTAAATTTCTATGGCATTTTGTTAACAGTACTATCAAATTAATACAATATCACAGACCTAAACCTCATTTTACATTTTTTTCTTTAAAACCAGGTTGTTTAGGGTAGCTTCAAGCACTCCTCTTGTCTTGATCTTCCCGATGATCAGACTACCAGTAAATACCACCACCACAACTGGGGTGGACAAGATATTTAGAAGAATATTGTCCAATATTTTGGAGGAAGTACACTATAACCACTGTTCAGAAAATGGAATTAAATGTACTTTTTTCTTTGTTCTGGTATTTTGTAGTATTGAGGTTTGAACTCAGGTCCTTACACTTACTAGGCAAGTATTCTAAAACCTGCACCAGGAAGTGGCGCTGTGGCTCAAGTGGTAGAGCACTTGCCTTGAGCTGAAGAGCTGAGGGACAGCGCCCAAGCCAGAGTTCAAGTCCTAGGACCAACAACAACAAAAAAAAGCCACCGAATTTATAGCCGCTGGTGGCTCACGCCTGTAATCCTAGCTACTCAGGAGGCTGAGATCTGAGGATCGAGGTTCAAAGCCAGCCTGGGCAGGAGAGACTGTGAGACTCCTATCTCCAATAAACCACCAGAAAACTGGAAGTGGCGCTGTAGCTCAAGTGGTAGAGCGCTCGCCTTGAGCTGAAGAGCTGAGGAACAGTGCCCAGGCCCAGAGTTCAAGTCCCACGAACGACAAAATAAATAAATAAAACCTGCACCATACCCTAAACCTTAAATGTAAATCTACATGCATATATCCCTAAAATTAAAACTTGTAGCAGGGCACTGGTGGCTCACCCCTATAATCATAGCTATTCAGGAAAGTGAGTTCTGAGGATTGTGGTTCCAAGCCAGTCCGGGCAGAAAAGTATCTGTGAGACTCTAATCTCCAATTAATCACTCAAAAACTGGAAGTGGTGGTGTGGCTCAAGTGGTAGAGTGCTAGCCTTGAGTACAAAGAGTCTCAGGGATAGCACCCAAGTCCTGAGTTTAAGCACCATGACTGAAAGAAAAATAAACCAAAAAACTTATGCAATTAAGCTGGTAACCAGCTTAGTAGTCCAGTCCACTCAGGAGGCTCAGTTCTGAAAGCTTGAGGTTCAAAGCTAGCCCAGGGAGAAAAGTTTGAGTCCAACTAAATAAAGGAAAAACAGGCTAGAAACATGGCTCAAGTGGAAGAGTCTGGTCCAGCCATAAGTGATGAGCAAGCAAGGCAACTAATAGCATAAGACCTTGAATTCAAACCCTGGTACCAGCAACAAAAAACAAAACTGCAGTCCCATTACACAGTTTGGTAATCCAGGAATGCTATTTTATTTATTATTTATTTATTTTGTCAGTCATAGTGCCTGAACTCTAGGCCTGGGCGTTGTCCCTCAGCTCTTCAGCTCAAGGATAGTGCTCTACCACTGGAGCCATAGCGCCACTTCCAGCCTTTTCTGCTTATGTGGTGCTGAGGAATCGAACCAAGGGCCTCATGCATGCAAGACAAGCACTCTCCCACTGAGCCCCAGGAATGCTATTATTAAACTAAGTTAATAAGTAATACAA